TGGCAATGGCAATGACAGCAACAACAAAGCATTTTAAGCATTTCCAAAATCAAATATGGCCGAATTAAATTTTCTTGGTCTGCTCTTTGTGCGCTCCTTCGCCGCGGCCATTGTTGCCATGACAACCGATTGCATTCCATTGGGGAGTGAGTAGAGGAGAGAGACAGGGAAGTTGACGGGCCTGGCAGACGATACCGGAGCGCCGCATGTTCATAAATTCATTTGGTGTTCTTGCTGTTGTTGTTGTTGTTGTCGTTGTTGTCAAGTAGGTTTCTCGTTTCGTTATCTGTGGTCTCTGTCGTTGCCGGTTTTTTCCTCTTGCACCGTGTCTCCCCTTGTGAAGTGTGTTGATTGCTGAGGTTCAATGGCTTCTCAGCCGTCGACACGATCAACAAAATGTCGCTAATCCAATCCATCTGGATAAAGCCAAATATTAAAACTATGTTCAAATTAAAAATCTTTACCGTATTTATGCAACTGAAGCGGCAGTTTCCAATTCCTAAATCATCAAACGATTTCTAATGAAATTAAAAATTATCTGTCATCACTATTTTTTTTCGTTCTAATCAGAATACGTTCATCCCCTATTTCCGCTTATGAGATGTCGCGCACTCAATGGAAACGCATTGAAGTTTAGATGCGGGCCTTAAGCAATAGATGGCGCTGAATGAGTTGCAAAAACTGTCGCCTACAGCGCTGTACAATATTATGAAATTGGAAGGAATGGGTGGTTTTATTATCTGAATAATCTGCCTGCCATATTTTGTGCAAGCGTGGTTTTATTTTATTATGTGCATCGTTACGTAAATAATGCTTCCAAATAATCATAATAATATGGAAGTACATTTTCAGGTAAATTCAGCAATGCATATATTGTATGTAAAATTTACATGCGGGTCACGCTTTATCCTAAATAGTTACAGATTTTCTAAATATTATGATTTTGAATAAAACATAATGGGATATAAAACTAGAATTAAGTTTCCATTATATTGAAGGGTATGGAGGGTATAATATATCTGTGAAAATGTACCTAAAATGCAGCAGGTATATGAAAATGTTCTTCAATGGAAAAAGCTATGCATGAACGCGTTGATAAAAAACTACTTAGAAAGGCAGAGGCACCAAATAACAATTTTATCACATTTTATCGTATATCATTCAAATTGTCAATATCCGAAACGCGATCTCCGCCTAACAAAGGTCGGAGATCAGATAAACTAACTTAGCTACGCCGACAAGCTGCTGAGGCATCCGAACGCGGTCGCCCGGGTCCTGTCTGACCCCATCAGCGCATCCAAAAGTTACACCCCTGCGACCCAGCGAATCATCTAAATACTTCACAGTATCATGCCATGTCCTCCTTCACCTTCAATGTAAATATGCTATCATTCTAAATATCCCTCAATGTTAAAATCATGTAAGCTACATTCTTGTACCTAAACTAAATAAAACGAGTTGAAATTGAAAAAAATTGTCAATAGTTTCTCCCACGCTACCTTAATCGATAAATATGTGCGTGTGCATGAATTCTTCTAGATCAATTGGTGGAAATTCTAGAACGACGTACTATCACGACAAAAAAGGAATTTAAGGACCTTCAGTGGCTTATAAATACTGAGCTGATGACATTAAAACGAAGATTAATTTACATATCATTTTTTATAGTTTTTTATTATGAAGTTGTAAATTTTAAAGAAATAATTACTTCTTTAAATAATTTTTGGTAACAAAAAGTTTTCTACAATTTAAGTCCGTTAGGCGAAAATGATCTTGCTTAAAATGCAACAGAGTGCTCGAAATATATATTAAAGGGAAATATTGATATACATAAAATATAATTTAACATAAATGGATATAGAGCATATTTTTTGCTCTCTTAGATCTCTATACCTTAAAGAAAATATTAAAAATAATTTTAACATCTACGGAATGTCTCCTGGCTCTAGTCAGCTGTTTCTCATCGTCATCTATGGCTCCCGTCGAAGAGAGCCGTCCATCAACAGCCACAGCAACAGGTTGCTTGAAAAGTGTTACCCATGAACCACCCAGAATAAAAAGCAAGATAATGAAATAAAACACGTTTGATTATCAAATAAGCACAAACATAATTTAATTTTCGTCCAATTTGGATTAATCGGATATAAAATACGTAATACATTTATTATATAAAACCAACTGTTTTTCCAATATTTACAGTGTTTTGGTGGTTTATTCAATGGAAATCAAACATATCACACATCCCGCGTCGCTGGTGTTTCCTCGTGTTACGTATACTGAAGGTATACCGGATAGGATACACTCAGGATACATTCAGTATACGTATACGAAGTTGCACAGGCTCTACAATAAGTGCTCCGCTGTAAACACCTAAGTTTTCAAATCAAATAATAATATTCGTGCTGCAGGCAGCTACCGTTGTTGACCCGACGATTGCACGGCCGCAACTGAGTCGCCGGCAGGAAAAACTAACCGTCGAGTCCCCGTAATTGTCGTTTCCTTCTTCGTACCGGCTCGTGTCTGTGTCGCGCCGTGTCGTGCCGTGTCGTGTAGTGTATGTTTCGTTTACCAGCGTTTTCCCCTGAGCAGAACCAGGAAACGCTTCCGGCCTGCGCCTTTGCCGCCGCCTGTCCTTAAATGCAGTTGATGTGGCCGTTTCGGTGGTTGCTGACAATAAGTATCAAGAGTCTAGCATATGACTTAGATAAGACCTAGCACTTGTCCCACAGGACGTGCTGTGGTTCACGGACTTTGCATCTGCAGCCTGTTGGCAGGTGGAAGAAAATAGAACGCAAGATTAACAATAATAAGTTTACCAAGTTACTGCCAGTAAATTGGTAAATTCGCCTTCTTTCCAGTGCGGGCAGACGTCAACTAATACCGCAACTATTTCTCCAATCGCGATAATCACCCTTTGTTGGAACTGGCAGTAAGCAACACACAGAAGCGGAGCCATTCTCAACATCGCTTCGACTCGCAGCTCCGACTCAGGCTCACGCGCACGTCCTTCCATTTAATCCAAGATGGCAAACACACACCCGATGCAGACGAAAGGCAGCCAGCCAGCCAACCAGCCAAACTCTCTGGCAATCTAATGCCTAAGATAAAATTCAAAATTTATAATATTGCACAGTTTGGCCGATATAAAACGTAAACTTATGGCTCTCGAGGAGTACGTGCCATATTTTTCTGTGTATATGCCACAGCCAGGCACTTCTAAGAGAGTGTTTCAAGTCTTGGGCTGTGCCCAACCCTTGCCAGCCAAGAGTCACGAGCTCGTTATGCCTGTGAGATTTCATTTGTGTTCAGCTAAACGTTCAACCCCCAAGTACTGTGGGCAAAAAAGAGGAACAAGCAGCTTCAACCCGAGTGTTAAGTGGAACACTTCTTAAACAGTTAATTGGTCTACAGATACCATTAGCACAAATGTAAATCCATTGAATTTTGAACTTGAATACCTATTAAACAAATATAATGCTCGACTCAAAGATACCTGTGTGCTTTGCTCAGCTTTAAGATTCCCAACTTAAGCTCAACAAAATAATGTATTCAATGTTAGAAGTAAGAAAGATTAACAACGTGCATATTTTAATGAAACCTTCCATTGTTAGTGAGTACAAGATCAAAGCGTCTGTTTAACTTGGATACATTTTAATTAAGTAGAAGTGATCGCCTACGAGAAAATATAATTTTTTCTAACATTGACGGACATTTATCCATCGTACACAGGACTACGTAAATGTATCTGTGTGTATGATTTTTTGTTTGTTTAGGGACAGCACCGCCACGTGGGTTAGGCGATATAATGGGGGTTGCCGGTTCTAAGAGGGAGGCGTACACACAAAACGGCCGTTACAACCATAAATATCATTTTTTTATTGGCACAACCCTAAATGGCGGCATTTGGTAAAGCAAATTCCAATGCAAAACGCTCCTTCGCTCACGGGGAAAAAAGTGGCGCACAAGCCGACGGGCTCACGGGCAAACGGACTGACAAATGGACATATATGTATATAGGCAGAAGAGCCCACATAATGAGCGCCAAGGGCGGTTTTATCCTGAACATGGGATTGCAGTTAGGGTTGGGGTTGATGATGTACGTTCTTGTCGCTAAGCCCACCTTTAAGAATGTGCGACAATTTGCAAACGCAACGAGCCGTGTGGAGCCGTCACTTACATAGTCAGATGGGAGTGGAGCCGGAATCCGTTTGGCCACTGTACGAAAATCTCTCGCCTCAGAAATCGCATAGCACAATGGTACGTGACTTTATGGCAAACGGCTGCCCGGCGTTGCCAAGGTGCTAAACGCTACTCATGAGCACCGCTGCGAGGCGTTGGAGCTGCAACAACGTTTGAAATTTGCACGCTCCGTTCAGTCAGGCAGCAGAAACTGAAACAGAGGGTCCAACCAACAGACAAAGACGTCATAAACGAGGGGAAACAATTGCTTGAAATTACAGACGCCATTGCGCCATTGTTGGCAGCTGAAGCAACCCCAACCCCAACCCCAGTCCTCTGTTAAATTTACCCATGCTTCCTACCTGCCCTAGACCGCCATGCTAACCCATAGAGGCCATCAGCGCTTTCAGTTGATTGTTTCCTCGCTGGGCTGCAGCCCGACCGCAGCCACACCCTTCTAGCGTCGGCCCGCCCGCATCGATTGTAAAGTCTCCCAAACCCGGAGCAACTGCTGCTTGATTCTGTATTTGCTACCTCTATACTGTGTGTGTCTTTGGGGCGTAGTTTCCAAATGAGTTTTTTCTCTCTACTTTGAATTCTCAATTATTTTCTTGCATTTGGATTTTTCTTTCTTTTGAACTGAGACTGCGCTTACATTTTTTATCACTCATTGGGGATTATGGCTTGATGATTGAAGTTTAATTTAGTTTTTAAATTAGTTTCACCTCGGACCGACTTTGACTGTAAACTCTAAAGTAAGCGTAGCAAAATATTTCCATTGAATTAAAAATTTTTTAAACTAAGTATATGAAATCGATTGAAGAACAAGCTGCCAGCAGAGCTTAAACAGCATCAGGCAAAAGTTAAATATATCAAAAGTTTATGGATATTACGTTTAATTTCGCAAATCATCTAATCAAATGTCGCATAATAAATGGCGCTCATAACTGAGTACAGCTGCCTTTCGTGTGGACCAACTGCCGCTCGACTCAACTCGTAATCAAAACTATTTGATATCAGAGTAATTTAAATTTGGAACCTTCAATGAGTGCATGGCAAATGTGTTTGCGGTTCTTGAAAGTAAAACGTCTTCCATTTGTAGTCGGGGAGGCATCTGCACTCATGGTGCGTGCTGGATGCTGGGCAATATTGCGTCAACGACTTGCAAACAAAATTAGGAAAGGCAACCCAAGCGGTGGGTAGCATATGCTGCTGAGTGCGCGCTGGCATCAAAATGACTACACAAACTTTTCAAATTAGATTTCACACCCAAACTAAACATAAGGCGTTGGTCCAAAGGCGCCGGCAGACGCGGAGGTGGAGGGGCGACGACTAAGACGTCGCATTGACTCTGAGGATGTGCACCAGTCTAAGCTCAAGATGAACGCAACGCCACAAACATGACACTTGCGCCCAGAGTTTGCCACCGTATTTGTATTTTAGCTTAATGGGTTGGATTGGTCGGTGGCGTATAAGCAACCAAGTGGAAACTCTGAAATGGACACAATTAGTGTGCAATTTATGCGCCATAAAACTGCAGCAACAACAGCAGCAGCTGACAACGAGACAATGATTGTCTCTTGTCTTCGCCGCAATTTGAATGTTTAAATAAGACTCCCCGTTTATGCTATATCCACGCCTTCGCCGCTTTCCCCATACCTGTCCCCACTCTGTCTGCGCGCAGTTTTCCACTTAAAGCAGCGCGTGGGCAACAGTCGCAATTACCCACAGATACACAAGTATATCCATGCAAGGCCGACGGTCGACGTTAAGCTCGACAATTTGACAATACCCAACGAAAGCGGACTTCACCTCCTCACATCCATATTTGCATCCGTCTAGCCGTATGTGACTCCGTAGCCTCATTGTGCTACGTGAAGCGTGTGGCTTTAAATTAAATGCGACGTGGGGTATGCGTGCATGAGCCTTACATGGAAGCCACTGCTGCTTCGAGTGTGAATTGTCCGGCGTGGACAGGGGATTCTTACAGCTTTATTATGCAGCCACCACCAGCTGCAGCGTTCGCATCCACGAGCCACATAAATCACGCTAAGGCGCACACAAAACTACCATTTGATAATTTGCGAAAAATGGGTCTGACAACCGCGAAAGAGAACGCCATATTGTAGGCCGATCGATGTCATAGAGATACATATATATGGATATATATATGTGTATGCAAGCACAAGTTAAATAGGTATGTGATGCTCACATTTCACGCCTGCATCTGCCACGGGGCAGCTCTTCTCGTGTTTTTGCACAATGTGCACATATGTACGCGCTGCGCTGGAAGGGGAACGCCAGTAAAATCACAAAAATCTGTTGAACTGTTGCCATTTGTCCATCCCGTCAGCCGGCCCAAGGGCAAAGGGACTGGCGCAAATCCGCCCCTGTGTGCTCTCGTAGGTGCGAGAGTGCGTAATTATGCGTTCGCAGTCGTAAAACTGAACTTTATTGCCGCCAAAGCAAGTCCGTTCAGCAGTGTCTCATGATTGGCCCGGCATCGCACCGATTTCCCCCTCCTTATATCTAACGACTGTCATTTGATTGATTTATACATGTGTGAAGATCAACTGAAGCCTGCCTGCAGTCCATAAACAAAATAGCTGGGTATCTGACAATTAAATGAGATATAATAATACGTATCTAGAAGCCAGGTGGTAGTCTAGCCTACTTTACAACCGATTCTGCATCGCGCAGATTTGGCGCGCATACGCCCCATTGGCCGTGCGAAAATCTTTTCTGCCAAAATGGGGAAGAAGGCGTGTTTCTACATTCATATCTTAGTATACTGAGCATTATAGCATTATGTTTGGCATTATGGGATCAGCAAGATAAAGTGTGGTAGTATTTAATAAAAACTAAATGGGATCTTCTAAAGTGGGATAACTATTAATACTATTCAGAAATGTATGTTTTAGATAGATGGGTGGGGCTTGTGACGACTCTTTTATAGGTAGCTGCAATCGGTATATTCATATATGTACATATACAAGTTAATTAGACATAAAAAAATACATTATATTGGCGATTTAAAGAATAACTCTCCAATTGTATGCAGACTTGTTGCCTGACCAAATGATCTTCAAGAAGTCTAAAAGACAAAAACAGACTAAATAACGGTGAAAGAGTTGAACCTGCCCCAAGAGCAGAAAAATCAGAGCAGAAAATAGGCGTAGCTAAAGCTTGAAATATGATGAAAATCAATAAAAGGAAAAATTGTGCGAACGTGAAATGAGGAATAATTGTTACTATCATCTTATTTATTCTCTTAGCTGGGGGCAGACATTCGTCGTGGATTACTTTTTATTGTAGACAGGTTACCGCAGCCCCCGCCGAAGTCAATTATTCAGTTGTTGGCCCGCAACAATGCCTGAGCGCTTACTTATCATCCCAGACAGATGGCATCTTTGTCTTCACCGTTCAGTCTCTGTCTCTCTCTCTCTTTCTCAATCTCTTTGTTGCTCTTTTCCATGCGAACCGTATAAACAACACGTAGGCATTTTTGGGGCTCTTTATGTGTATCTGTGTGCGTGCATTCTTTCTGTGTGTGTGTTTGTGGTGTGTGTGACGTCGTCGCCACGAATTGGCGGACAGAAGCAAAACAAACCATAAACATGCGTAGCCAGCGCAGTAGTGAATGCGAATACGAAGACCAAAAACGAAAACAAGCAACGGAACGGAACGAAGCATAAAGCAAAAATTCAGCCACAGTTTGCGTCAAAGGGTCGACCTCGAGCCCTAACCGTAGTTAGTCCTCAGGCGTCAGGCGTCAGTCGTCAGCCGCCAGCCGCCAACCGCCAGCCACCAGCTGTCCGTGGCCCCCTCTCCCAACGAGAGCCATAAGTCAATGTCAATGGCACGCAGACAGACAAACGAGAGACCCACACAGACACGCGACTTTTTTGGGGCTGTGCTTTAAGAGTATTTTCATGTTTAATAAGACCTTGACATGCGACATTCACCTGACAACCTGAAAACGAGCACAAATTTGTTATTTGGTGTTTATGGGCGGCGTTTACAATTAAATAGGACAACGCTTCTATCTGAAAGAGAGAAGTGCAAATAGTTTAAAATTCAGTAATCGGAAATCAGAAATTAGTAATCGAATATCAGAATGATTTAATTTACTTCAGACAAAATGCGCGTAATAAAAATAACTCTCATCACAGAATTGAAGCTCACCATAGAACGAGTTACACATGCATCTCTCATTCATACATACAAACACACACACACACTCGCTCTCTTACACTCACGCTGCAGCTGTGAAATGCAAACCCGTTTTTGAGCAACGCTTTTAACGGTAAACAAAACAACAAAATACTAAACAATTCGATAGTTCACATCAATTTGGCACATACATATAACACACATTATTAACTTCGGAATTTATAAATTTATACTTAAAACTTTTTGATTACTTATTAAAACAGTTTAATTTTCAGCCAAAGCAAGTAGTGAGTGATAAAAGTACTTGAAGTTTATTTTTAGCTGCCGCAATTTTGGGACGTTTATTTTTTTGGCGGATGTTTGCTTTTCAACGTTTTGCGTTCATTTGAAGCCGTCGCCCGACGATTTCTTGTGCGCCGCTTGGTCGCTGCCTCTGCCGACGACGACGCCGGCGACTGTGGCTGCGACGCGCACGCGGACACGGACGTTTGCCGGTTTTGTATCTGTGCGTATCTCACAGATATCGCCCCACGGCCAGACCGAGTATCTGTGTGTAATGCGACGTATCTGTGAGCCACTAGACAGCCTGTCTGCAATAGTGTGTGTGTGTGTGTGTGTTTGTATGCATGCGTGTATGTGTGTGAGTATCTGTGCTATCCATGCGCGCAGCGACTCAGCAAATGTCCCACGGCTGGGACTTTTCGGTTCAACTGCATGGCAGTTACACTAACAACCGTTTTAGGTAACGGGTACTTTACGTGCATTGCGAATTCGAAATTGGGAAATTTCCTAAGTTGTTCGCCGGCAACGGCTGATAAAATCCCGGCCACGTGCTATGCCCACATTGTTATCTTTGATTTTGTTTTGGCCCGTTGTTTTTGTGCTTTTTTTGCAAGCGAGCTTTTAGCTTTGCGTTTGCTGCTGTTCTTGTACATAACTTAACCTCGCCCCCGCCGCTTACATTGCTCTTGCTACTGTTGTTTCGCTTTTTTCTGTGTTTTGTTGTTGTCGTTGTTGTTGCTCTCGTGCCAATCGCCGGCGCGACTTCAATTCTTTTATGGAGCACTTTTAGGGCTGTCTGCGACCTATTTTGAGTTTGGTTTTTCTTGTTTGCCTCGGCCTGTTCTTTATATATATTTTGTTGTTGTTGCAATTAATGACCATTTGAATTATATTTGCGCTCGTAAAATTTACAAGAATTGTTTGCTGGCATTTCTTTTGCACTCATCCTCTCAATGGTGGTTCTTCCACAAAATCCGGTTTTCCCATTCACTTTGTACGTAGACAGCAGAAATTTTTACGACTTTTCTGCACAATGCGCAAATACTTCGACAATGGACCAACGCCCAACCCGTCCAAAGCAGCATTCCGACCCGGACCCGTGGCACCCACTCGGGCATGGCCTGGGAACCGGTCAGAACGTGAAACCATTTACCGTTGTCCGCATCGGGCATTTTATTGTAGGTTTTCTAATTTAATAAATCGTTTGTTGATAATAAATTTTGCACTCGGCTTTTATTAAAACTTTGGAGAATATATATATGTATTTTGACGTTGGCCTTTTCAGGGGTTCAACATGATTCAACATGAAAATTAGAAGAGGATGGATATACATATACTTATCTCTATATATAAAACTGTTTGTCCTGACTGACTGACTGACTGACTGACTGACTGACTGATTGGTGACCAACGCACAGCCCAAACCGTAACAGCTAGGAAGCTGAAATTTTCACTGTAGTTACCTTATGTGATGTAGGTGCACGTTAAGACGGGGTTTCGGGAAATTCCACCCGCAAGTGTGGAAAAATCGCGAAAAACGTTTGTATGCAACTTTTTTGTTTACCATCCGATCGGCCTCAAACTTATTTTCAAAGATCTTTGTTCAAATTCATTTGAGGGGTGTTTCACACTTTTCGAAAAATCCGTTCCTCCTTTGTGGAAATGGAGGTCAAAGATTTGGTGGGTGACGTTTCGCGCTCAAATTCATTTCCAGAGATCTATAAGAAAAACCATTTGATACGTGTTTCACACTTTTCGCAGAATTCAAACTTCTTCGGGGGGAATGCGATTTAAAGATTTTTTGGGCGAAGTTTAAAGTTGTGTCCGATTTGCTTCAAACTTATTTTCAAAGCTCCACATAAGAACTAAATAAATACGTATTTCAGCGATTTGGGAAATTTCACTCGCAACGGTGGTAAATTGGCGGAAAACGTTTGTATGAAAGTTATTTGTTTACCGTCCGATCAGTTTCAAAATCATTTCAAATTTGTTTGAGAACATTGATTTCATAACATACGTGCCACGGGCAAGGCCGGGTTATACCCGCTAGTGTAATATAAAATTACAAGAAACTATAAACCTATTTACTTGGCTCTTTAATTGAAGAATTTCAGCAAAAAATAAAATAAGTAGATGTGTCTGTAATATTGTATTAGTGGTCATAGGCCTATTATAAAATATTGTTTTTGAAAATTTTCCCATATTTAATATTTAATATTTGCGCTATGATCTATCTAAAGGCTCTTTAAAGTTAACAATTATAGCAAGTAATTCCTATGTATATTTAATGGACTTTAACCGCTTAAATTAATGCTTTTATCAAATCCGAAAAGAAGAAATTTACTGATCTAAAAGCGAACCAACTCAGGAACAAATGTAAGATATTGTTGTATAAAGCTTTACACAAACACAAAACTTAAGGGTACTACCAGCAGCTGCAGCATAAACATATTAGATCAGTTCCACTCTGCGATAAATCTTCAAAGCCCCTCACTTAATCTGAAGTTCGGAAACAGGTAAATTGGAAGGCTTAGCAAGAGATATTGCAACAGACTGAAGTTAACAAAATTCTTTCATAGTAAAACTAACAAATGCCGAGTTTGGTCAAGATATCTTGAAAAACAATAATAAGAACCTAATTGTTAGAGTGCGTTGATCATCATCTATCAGTCAGTACAAGCAGTTTTATATGCATACGCACATTTAGAGACGAGCAAAAAGACTGGAAAATTCTTTAAATGCCATTCTACGAAACGCATTTAAAGGGATATATAAATATATAAATATGTATATAATATATCCTCGAGATAATATTGTACGTATATATGTACTATGGCTATTATGTGAGAGTCAACCTGGCTACACAGATAATGAACTACCCTTAGCTATATTCCTGGACCACCCTTACAGTTTAGTCCGTGAACGAGCGCAACTGCAACTGTGTAAGTGAACATTACCTACTCGCTGGCATGTGTGTGCGTATTTCAAAGAGCTTACCCCTAATTGCCAAACCATAAAAAACTGCAATTTAAACGAAGGACAACCACGGAGGTGAGCAACGAGTGAGAGAAGCTCCCAACGAGAAGACTCGAGAGATGAGAGTCTCTTGGCAATCGCTATTGCATTCAGCAATGATTACGATTACAGCGGGGCATTGTCGTTAGCCCAGGCGCTCGGCTAGCAAGGAGAC